TCAGCTTAAGAGGGTTTTACAATCGAACCGAACCCAATACAAATTCTTGATATTACAGAATGAAGATGAAGTAGATGCTGTACCATCCTTAAAGAAAGAAGATTCAGATACAAAATACCCAGATTCTACTCTTAAAAAACCCTTACAGGTACACGTCAATTGATATACTGCACAAATAAGACTTAATTTAAATAAGAGCTCATCTTATGTTGACATATTTTTGGGGATTAATGTTAAATTTCTTAACAGATTTTTGTAGGGATGTTGATGATTGTTGCTCTTGGTAAAAGAATTATAAGAATTAGTGGCAAGTTGGTAGAAAGTCTAGAAATCGAGTTGTGACATGGTTATGATATTTCTTTGTTATCTTATGTTTTCCTTTAGGATCTGGTAGAATTAATCTGTGACATCAAGAAAATGGAAGAAGCTGTCATGGAAATGAAATATGATGCCAAAAAAGCGCCATTAGGTAAATGATTGTCTTGCTTTTCTTCTTAAATGATCTTTGAGCAGATCTGAAATTAAAGGCTGTATCAGCTTACAGATTATTTGAATTCTTCTTGATCAATCTGATTTAGTATTTTTTTAGCTTTGAAACTTTCTAACATATTTGATCTAAGCTTCCGCCCCACCCTTTTTAGTACAAGATTAACATTAATCTGTTTATTTGCAGGTAAACTGACCAAGACTCAGATAAAAGCAGGCTACCAGGCGTTAAAGGTTATAGAAGGTTTAATAGATAGTAATAATTTTGGTCATAAATTAGTTGAGGCTTGTAATGATTTTTACACCAGAATTCCTCATGATTTTGGGTAAGTTTCATGTGTTTCAGTCTAGATGATAAAGACTGATTTAATTACAGACAAACCTAATGTTTGATTTCTACTGTGAAAAGTGACTTGGTTAACTAAAATTTTATTCTGTCAGATATTTTTGCAATACATATAAGTAAAATTTGATTTCAGGTTCAAAACACCTCCAGCCATTAGAACAAAACCTCAAGTTAAAGAAAAATTACAGCTGTTAGAGGTAAGATACCTAGGTGATATAGAAATATTTATTTTCACAGTGATTCAGAAATATTAAAACGGAACCTGAAACATGTTGTAATTCAGAGTTTCATGCTGTGCGCTCTTCAGTCAACTCTTTATATATTATTGTGGGACTTTGCTTTCAGCAAAGTCCCAGTTTGTTATCGAAATGTCCATTCTTTTTTTTTTTTTTTTTTTTTTTTTTTTTTTTTTTCGTTTCGTCCACACCTTCCCGAGCTTAGACTGCAGTAGTTGTAGTAACGTTTCGAATTTCATAGACCTTCTATATAGGTGACGATGTGCATAAATATAAATTGGAACATTTTTGCAAAACCGGAAGTGCCACAGTTCAACATGTGCAAAAAGTCGAAAATCGGCTCTAGAAGGCGCATTTTTGCATCGATTTTCTCCGGGTTTTCATTTTTACAATCTACCTGTAATTTCTGACCTGATAGCACTTGAAAAATTACGAAATTCGAAAATTCGTCGCTCACTTTTTTCGATCAAATTTTTCGATTTTTTTGCAACTTTTTTGCTTTTGCATCGATTG